CCAGCCACAGTCAGAGCATCGGGCACAAGAGCATATTTTCTCTTAATGGAAATGATCCTGGCCATGGTTCAAGGCGCTGGGAACAGGCCCTGCAGCCACTCACACCTCAAACACCTCGCGCCCTCCGGTCCCCCAGCACCCACTCCCGCAGTTGCACAGAGTGTCACTGCAGCGACTCGGGGAGTGGATCGGGGCTGTGTCCCTCGCTGGGACCCCTGAGCCCCACAGCCCCTCCCGTGGGTGCTGGGACATGGAATCACTCCTCTCGCACCAGCAGGACCCAGCACCGGGGTGAGGGGCTGCTCCTCAGCACGGCTGGGCCAAGGGACAGCAACAAAATGATTTTCCTATTAACTCACCCTTATTAAAGGAAATTAGATTAATTACACTGTAGAAAGCAATAAATCTTTCCCTGGAGAGACAGGGAGGGTGCCTGGGATTTTGGTCTCCATGTGTAATGTTAAAATTAGCAATTCTGTCTAATCCCATTTTTCAGTGTAATAATGCTTCTGAGGGAGAGGAGCGTAAAGCTCTGTGGCTTACAGACACTAATTTTCTGAGATAAATAGAGAATTTCTTCTCGCTCTAGAGCTAAGGACGAAATCGCTCTGAAGCCTGCACCCTGTAAGCTCCGTTTCCCACTGCTGTATTTTAAAAGGACATTTATGCTTCCCCAAGCTCCAGCGTGACAGCTGAGCAGTGGCACTCTGCAATTCCACAGCAAGGTCCAGCCACATCAGTTTTCATATTATCTTGCTGTAAATGAGATTCACTGGACAACATGGATGGGATTTGCAGCACAGCTGTGAAAGAAATCCTGCCTTCAGGAAAGCTACCATCTATGAATAAATTGAGTGTACTTATTTTGGTCTCCTGACAGGCTCAAACATTCTGAGGCTGTGAAAGCCAAGACCCAGCCTGTCTCACAGGCACCCCTCACAGAAGGAAGCACACATCGGGAATGGGCTCTCCTCTGGCTGTCTCATCCCGTGGGGACAGCACCGTGGCTGGAGGTGAGAAGGTACCACGCGTGAGACAACCCCTTCTCCCAAGGGGCTCATCACAGCGCAGCTTCCCAGGAACTTGTCCGGATCACCAACAAACCTCCTCCCCAGAAGGTAAGCCACAGCCCCTCTGGCTCCTTACTCAACTTCCCCAAAGTTGAATCTCTCCAACCAACATACTCCTCCCTGCTAAGCCATCAGGTACTTCCCGAGACCGCCCGGCACCCCGAGCACCCACACGTGTGGGAGGATGAGCAGGCGGTGCAGCGACTCTTCTCCCACCTCCAGGATTCACCTGGAACCCTGCAAGCACAACCCATGAGAGGAGCACAAGCTGCAGCTCAATCCATGTCAAACAGCATTTGATTTGTGTCCTGGAATCCCTATCACACACGGCGACACGGGCTCAGCTGAAAGGCTGCAAGGTCCTACCGGGACCGGCACGGCACGGCAGATGGTGATGGGCAGAGCGTGGCTGCCCGAAGCAGCAGGGACACAGTTCAGCACTGCGGGGCACGGCTGCCCTGCGGCGAAACAGCCAGCACCCACCTCTGCTCACCTCTTCTAATTAGTACATCACACCTAATTGAGTGCCTAACTGCTAAATGATGTGGCAGTTTAATTAAATATTATATTTTTTGTCAGAATAAAACCCAAAAGGAAAACGAAAAACGAACCCCCACTGAAAACAAACACCAAAGGAGGAGGGGAAAAAGCAAAGCTAAAGAAACTTCAGTGTTGGCAGGCTCTGCTCCGAACTGAGGAAAGGTTTGCAGTTCTCCCAATCACTTCTTTAGAGAATAGGAACAATTTACAAACTCCTTAATGCCTTTTTCAGTGATGCCAAGGAGTATTTGCTCCTCTTATGCCTTCAGGTGACCCAAGGAACAGGGATTACTCGTGGGATTACATGGGTCAGCTGAAGGAGTTCCACACGCTGTCCCGCACCTTCAAATCCAAGACTCCTGAGTGAAAAAAAGGCCTCGAGACAGCTCTAATTTGTTCTAAACTATCAGCCCTTCTATCAGCAAGCAGGGAATTGTTCTATTTATTTCTCACAATGTCACTGAATCCATGACCACATACAAGGTGTCCATGATGATAAACGCTTGCTTTGTATCCGGAGCTATTTCTGACAATGCTTGATAGCGCACATTTATCAAATTGCCTGGAAGAGCCACCTATTAGGATCATTATCTAACACAGTCCCTCGGTGGGAGTCCGATATCAGCAAATCCTGAGGAATGGACCTCGCTGGGTACCTGCTCTGCTCATTATTTCTCTAGATTAATAGAGTTCACATTTCCATTAAGAATTTGGGCTGAACTTTGGAGTTCTCCCACCCAGAGCAAAGCTGCAGCACCAGCACTAGGGCTGCCCAGCACCCTCTCCTGCCTGGGGGCTGGCGACTTGCACCCCACGTCAGCCAGCCAGCCAGCACCCTGGTGAAACAGACAGGCCCTGCTACTTGCTTGCTCCCTGCTGGAAGCATCCCCAGCTCCCCTTAGACAAGCGCCATGCAGTGTCCAGGGGGACCAGAAGTGACACCAACAATTGGCAGGAGCAACTGCGGAAAAAGGAAATCCTGCTTAGCCCTGATCTCGAGTAGTACACAGTGCAGGCAGCAGGCAGAACGGATTCAGGGGGCGAATCTGTTTAGCCATTAGCTGCCAGATAGCTTTAATTCACGTCAGATACAATTCTCACTCTGACAACTGAAAGAGGAAGCTTGAACAGCAGCAGCGGTGTTGGTCGCACCGCGCTGGCAAGCCGGGCTTCAGGAGACCCACCTCTGCAAAAAAGAGACTGACGAGATACTAGCAAAACCGTTAATTCCTGGATTTGCTAAGTAACAGTACCCTGCAGAGGAACTTCTTGTGGAACAAGAACGCAGTATACTCCTTTAAGGTTTGGACAATGCAGCTTGTGCTCTGTCCCTGAAGTTTTCTTGAAGAGGGAGTAAACTGTTTTTGCAAGAACTTTGCTGGATGTGCAAGGACGTACGATAGGATGTTCTAACTGCAGCAAGGGCATCTAACACCCACATGGCTTGATAACATCAACAAAAACCAAAGCTTGTTATAGCTTGCACCTGGTGTGTGTGAACACTGCCTAACTGTGTATATATTGGACTAATTTGAGCAACGAACTGAGAACGGCATGGAACCGCATCGGTGTGATTAGTGTTACTCGGTCGGCTCCCCGAAAGGGACCCTCCTCAGTACCCTACCTCAGCACTGACCAGAAGCATCTGACGGGGTCACAAACACGTCAATGCGGGCATTAAGCCCTGCAGCTACAGCTCTGAAACGCAGACAGTATTGACAGCAGAGCTCTCTAGGCTAGCTGAGCGCTCTAGTTTGACTTCTCTTATTGACAGCAGAGCTCTCTAGGCTAGCTGAGTGCTCTAGTTTGATTTCTCGTCCTGGTAAAGACATGGTGAAAGAATAATCTCGACCTACACATCTGTACCCAAACAATTTTATTTGAAGTTTAAATCAACAAAAGATACAAACTAAAACAAGAGCGAAAGGCGCCCGTCCCAAATGAAATGCTGTTTATTTAGAAGGGACGTCAATATTCACCGTGTTTCATTGGTAGGTTCGCACCATCACAAGCTCGTGCAAGATGAACCTAGAAATGAAGAGAAATTAATTAGTACTCCAAGAAACACTCTTCTACCTCACAACCACTCGCAACTTCTGCCTGAAGCGGAAGACGTTTCACTCCAATTCAGCTTTTCAAAACAGTACCTAGAAATGAAGAGAAATTAATTAGTACTCTAAGAAACACTCTTCTACCTCACAACCACTCTGCCTGAAGCAGAAGACGTTTCACTCCGATTCAGCTTTTCAAAACAGCGACGATAGCTCTGCTTCAAGAAGGACACGGTTTACCCACAGCTTCTACTGCGCTAAAGACGATGTAAAACTACCCCCACCCCCTCCATCCCATCTCAGTTTCTTGGTCACTGACACCAGGCAAAACAAAGATGTGAGCGCAGGGCAGAAGGCGCTCTGGTTACAGCTCGACAGTCCCACGACTGATGGCAGAGCGACAACGCTGCCTTACAACTTCCAGTCGTGACCGACAGAAATACGCGGGCTTACCGAGAACTTCTTCATAATTCCTCGGGCCTCTGGATGCAGATGAAGAAAATTCTTCTCGGTCAAATCACTTGCTGTTAAACAAATGCTCTGCAAAAAAAAAAAAACAACAAAAAACAACCACCAAACCAAATCTCAGGTTTTGTTTGGTCAGCTGTGGTACCCAGAAGCCGCAAAAAAGATCTAAAAAGTAAATAAAATCCAAGCATACTAGGAGACCACACACAGGCAGAACCACATTTGCCTTGACCAGAAGCTCACCTCGTACCCTCCCTGTAGGGCGTTAACACGTTACTGCCAGCAGAACAAACGTTAAACACGCAGCAAGACACTATCCTGAGTTCTGCTTTGACCACCTCCCACCTGGCACTAGAAACCTTCCGAGGCTCTTTTAACGCTCCCTCAATCCCCTGACAGACTGCAGAGGCAGGAGTGGGTGGCCTGGCGAGGCCCCCGAGAAGCTGCAGGCTGCCCCTCCAGCACCGACTGCCCAGAGTCAAGCTTCTGACCTACCTCCCCTCCACCAACGGGGACGGTGAGGAAGATGTCGTTGCTGTTGGCCAGGGGGCTGCCGTTGGCAGAGACAGCATAAACGCGTTCATTGAGGGCGGGCGTGCGCAAACCCGGCGTCTTGAAAACGCTGAAAACAAAGTTATAGGCAAACAATTTCATAGCAATTGCTCAAGGCACTTGGACGAGAAGTCTTCCATTCCAGGTTCAAAGAGTCACAAAAGACTCTGTTGCAAACAGACAACGTGAAGCAAAGAACAGAGCGCTCCCCTACCAAAGACACTAACAGAGAAATTTGACAGAACACGTACCTGGAATCAAATCTGGGTGTGACCATGGAGGTACCTCCGCGAGCACAGAGACCAACAAGTCTGCCAGTAGCTGGAGTGATGAAGCTCTTTTTGCTTGATCTGTTAAAGGGAAATAAGCCTCTGCTCATAAGAATGCTCTTAAGAAATGTACAAGCACGAACTTATCAGAGACCTGAAGGATGTTATCACCACAGAAAACCTGGGGTTCTTACTGACCACAGATAAAGCCCAAAGCTGGGAAGACCTGGTTGCCACAGGAGAGGAAGTTGCCTCTCTCGTGCACTGCTAGGTCACTGAATTTTCACCTACAGCAGGGCACAACTACATCAACCAGCCTACTAAACCATGCTCTGCTCCATGTAAGAGTCACACTGGCACTACACACTTATTCCACCTTGCTGAAACCCAGTAAAAAGTAAATCCCCCCTATTACCTTTTACTCGTCTGCTTCACACTTCCTGAAGCAGCCCTCCTGCTCCTGGATGCCGGCACCTTTTTAGTGGATGCCTTCCCCTGAAACACACACAACTCACCAAATCAGCCCCTTCGCTCTCCTGTGGCAGCTGAGTCCACAACGAAAAAACGCTGCCACACAAAGCTTTTGGCTCAGCAGGCTCCTTTCTGGGGCACAGGAATCCAGAAACAAGCAACACACCAGCTTCAGCAACCTTCTCCTATCGCTAGGAATCTCAGAAATCAAAACCTGTTCTGAAGTCCCCCTGAAAGGACCCTGGACAGTTAGACTGTTAGGCATCACCTCAGTAAGTAGTTCATATTTTGTGAATAAAGTCACCACAAATAGCAACGACTTACCTTTCCAGTCCTTGGATTAATGTTCTCAGCTTCTGCCTCTGCAAGACATTCACCATCGTGTTTTGCTTTCTTTGCTAGAGGACGCAAAGGAGGCTCTGCTTCCTCTTCAATAGCTTCAATATCCTGCTTAGATTTTCCCACTAGAAAGAGAAAGCATCACCTAAGCTGAAATAAATAACAACTCCACATCACTGGCTAGCAGTAGAAATAAACAGTAAGCAATTGCAAGTATTTTTGGGAGTAGTTTGCTTCTGAAATCCAAATTCCAACGTAATTCCAACAGCTGGCAGAGCACCGCTTTGAATTATTTTAAGTGTTTTAATAACATTAGGGGGAGCTAATGCAGATAGTACCGATAAAAGTAGGATTGTTTTCCTCTTTTCAAACATACCGAAGGATGGAAACAGGAATAGAATTACTCTTCACAGCATGTAAGCCATGACGTGCTTTCCTCTCACCGAACTCACCACAATGCTTAAAACAAACTGACCTCTCTTCAGGAGCTTTAAAGGAGTCTGGATAACTTCTGCCACGAACTTGTTTATTTCTGCTGTTTCCAAGTCTGCCTAAAATTAAGAACAGTCACGACACCATTAGGGTTGGCAGCAGCACACAGTTCTGAGAAAACCGAGTTGCAGAGCAAATAACATTGCTTTTGAGCAGGAACACCTCCGCGTGTTCCGTTGTGCTCCAACTGGGGCCTTTCCTGTTATTCTCGTGGGGACAAGCGCGGGGGGGGCTGCAGGTCTTTCGGGACTAACCCTCGGGTTTGGCAGCTGCAAAAACGCTTCCCACATACCCGCTGCTCAGCCAGCTTCGAAACGCTTCAACTTGCCTAAAAGTGCCTGCGCTCTCAGGGGCCTGGGAGAGAACAGAAGCAGGCGAGGGAAGGCTGACAGGAGCACGCAAATCCTGCCCCGCT